GGTGGGGTGGGTGGGGGGGGGGGGGGGGGGGGGGGGGGGGGGGGGGGGGGGGGTGCATTTTATTCTACGATATAAAATACATCAGTAATACCCCACTCACAATTTTATAAAAAGGTGGTTGCTAATGCTAACAAGTGGCTAAATGGGACTACAGAGGTTGTCAACAAGTGCCATTAAGGCCCAATCACAATTCTATTTTATACCCCTTCCCCTACCCCTCAGCCTAGCTCTTCCCCTTGTCCCTTGAAACAGAGTGTCAAGGGGTAGGGGTGAAAATATTCCCCTAAGAATTGGGACACCACTACTATGCCGTCACACGTCATCATACGTCGTCTAGCTCCTACAATACACACACCTATACTGGTGTGCATTAGAGCCTGGCTAATTACCGTTCTATATTAATGTGCTGCTTACTGACACACACACACACACACACACACACACATATATATATATATATATATATATATATATATATATATATATATATATATATATATATATATATATATATATATCGGAGATCGCGCAGCTCACACATCCAGGAGAAAAGAAACTTGTCAACGCTGTCAATTACTTTTATCAATAACAGTTTAAATACTGAATCGCTACATTATATTTTCCAGTTTGCCGTTTTTGAAGTAAACTCACTCTAAAAAGAAACGCACAGACGCGCATACACGCAACTTTCATCTCTCTCTCTCTCGGAGCCCCTAAAGGGACATGGTGGTGGAAAAAAATCAGATTGAGTGAAAGAATTTGGGGTGGAAGGAAAAAATATTTGTCAGATTTTTTGCGTTCTCTTGCAAAACTTTTGTGTTCCCTCAAGAAACTTTGCATTCCCTCGCAAAACTTTTGCGTTCTCTCAAGAAACTTTGCGTTCCCTCGCAAAACTTTTGCGTTCTCTCGAGAAACTTTGCGTTCCCTCGCGAAACTTTTGCGTTCCCTCGCGAAACGGAGGGGTAGGGAAAAGGGGAAGGGCTAAGGGGTAGAATTGGGATTGGGCCTAATTGTCACCACACTAAACTTACCTACTAACTAGTCCACTTTTACAGCCCTATTGTGTTTATAATCTCGCTCTTGCAAACTCTAATTAGTCAAACCTTCAGTGAAAATGTTTTTTAGTTATCACTGCAGCACTGTATAGTTATCATTATCGTTATTGACCTTGGTGTGAATGGCCCTCTACAGCGAGATTCAGGTTTATAACACAATTAACCTCAAAAATTCCTTAAGAACAATTAGCTTGACCCTGTAGAGATTGTGAAACAATCAGACCATCTTATCCATCTCAGCCAGCTGGTCATTCACCACAGATTTCATATAGCTACGGATCTCAGTCCACATTCATTAAAGATACATTGCACATTAGGGATTAAAGATATAGAAAGTGTGTAAAGGTACACTCTGTGACGCATATGCTGGGACTACAGCCATAAAATGCTGTAGACATGAATTATACAGAAAGGTAGAGCGGTAGAAAGAGAGTAATAAAGATGCTAATCGATCTAACAAAACTGTAAAATACAAGCAAACAGACATCCTGAGAAAAGTGTGCTTATGGGTAATCTCCTTTGCCCCCTCTGAAAGTGTATTTATGAAGAGGGGATCAAGCTGCCCCTTGTTGTCCTAATGTAGGACAATATCAGGGATTTGTGCCTGTAGGGAGATTAATGGCTATGTGTGAGACCAAATGCTGTAAATCTCATCCTAAAACCAACGCCAGTCAGTCGGTAAAGCAACCAGCTGGCCTCTGACTGCACAACTAATGTGCACAACTCAGGAATTCCCACAAAGAGCAAATGCCACATCCTGTCCGTGTTAATATCTACTACAAGTCCCCCATAAAAATATATAAATAGACTATATGGTCCTTCGTCTGTCTGTATTTATTTCAAATTCTGTAAGTGAGAAAGAAAACGTGTTCTTGTCTCACAATCATCCTCTTCCTGAGTGCCAGCAGGGCATGTTGATGCCATTCAAAATCCAAATGAAATTCAATTGGCCCAAAACGGCTCGCTAAATCCATGCCATTAAATTCTGCTGAATTTAGTTGCTTCTTTAAGAGATAAACCACTCACAGAGGACATGGCTTTTTGCTTCCTTGCTAACCAGACAAACAGGAAAGGGCGTATCATAAGGAACATTATTTCCTCTGAGGCAGTTTAAACGTTATTTCTTTGACACTTTGTAAGCACTCAAAATTACTTACGAGAAAAATCTGATTGTATCTTATCTCTCAGAATGAAAGCACTGAAGATAAGTCAGCTTTTCAATAAAGCATGGTACAGCCCCACCCTGTTGAAAAAAAGAGCGAGTATCGCACAGGTAGGTAAACCAACCCCGACAGCCCAGCTCACTTTCCCAAGAGAACCAACTACGAGTCAATGGCTGCTTTATACGGTCCATCTTATAGACTGGATAAAAAAAAAACAGATCAAGTTTACCCAACTACTAAGGCACAAAAACACACGCGTCTTATTTACTAAATATACAAAATATAAAATGAGATTTGAGTTTACCTCAAAATGCTTGCCTCCAAACACTGCTGCTGACAGCGATCCAAAAGTCTTTGAGTTTTCCCACCGCACAGAGTTCCTGGGAGTGCTACACCTTCTCTCGCATTCAGATGAGGGTGAACAATGTGCGTTGGGGAGAGGGCAAAGTCTCCTCTAGAGCTCCGCCCCCGATACTATAGGAGTCCAGCACCACACCCAAACCCACACCCCCGCACTCTCTCTCTTTGACACGATAAACACACTCCAAAAACACTTCAAATGGACATCTGATTGCTTTAGCTGCTCATCGTCGTGGCGTAATATGCAACACACACACACACACACACACACACTGGTGTGTCTGTCTGGTCAGCTATCCTTGTGGGGACTCTCCATAGGCATAATAGTTTTTATACTGTACAATCTGTATTTTCTATTGCCCTACACCTAAACCTACCCCTTACAGGAAACTTTCTGCATTCTTACTTTCTCAAAAAAACTCATTCTGTATGATTTATAAGCTTTTGTATTCATGGGGACCTCAATTTTGGTCCCCACCGTGACACAAGTCCCCACGAGTCTGTGTGTATACAGGTTTAAGTCCCCACCAGGATATATAAACCTGTACACACACACACAAGTTTTAAAACATGCATAAGATATACATTTCAATATACAATAAAAGAATAATAAAAGTTGAACGCTATATATAGCCTATATTTATTTATAAAACGATTAGTTCCATATATATATGATGTACATTTCAAAGCGCAAAGTATTTGTATCAGCGCTAATTATTTTTGCATACAATATTGTCAAAACACCAATACACTCAGTAAATGCATTTGCTGGGAAAGGGTGTCAGTAATGTTAAAAATATATTAAATTCAATATACAATAAAAATATATAATATAAAATAAAATAATATATTAAGTTTTCTCCCCACTGTGAGCACTGAGGCTTACTTCCTAAGTGTATTTTCTTGTCTGTGATCATTTATAAGGATTCGTCTCTGTTTTTTTTTTATCTCTTATGATTTGTATAGAGATACTTTTCATTTTCTGCCATAATCTTATGTGCTTCTCAAAAGCAGTGAGATCTTCTACCTGTAGGGCATATTCATGTCAGCGGCCACACCTTGGCAGGTATTACGACAAACAAGGCACTACGTCATGACTCACGTAATTCTCAGACTGTGCAATATGATGAACTCTCTGTCTAATCACCTTTGAAACTATACACTCACCCAATTCATTTAAAGAGCTTTCATTTAAAATTACACTTCTTAGGGTTCAACAAATTTCACATGCTAAACATAATAATCCCCAAAAGCGAAACCATCATTTTTAATATTACAATTAATATTTTTTTTATTATTTCAAGTTTGTTTGTTAATTATCTAATTGTAAGAGTTATTAAGAATCAATAATATTGTATATTAGCAAATATCCCCATACATCTTAAAGATCTTCTGAAAGACTAAACAATCCTGATTTACCGGTATAGATCATATGAGATATTTGTATTTTTGATACTGAAACAATGGCCACTCGCTCAGTTGTAGTTCTGTCACGTTTGAGAAGGTCTTGGCTTTGTTGCAATTGTTGGCTTTGAAAATTGTGATGCATTTGGCAACGATTTAATAGCTGTGGAGTGAGTGATTCTGAATTACAGTGAATTACCGTTTACCAATGTGCAAAACATAGTTCAGAGGAAAAGGAGAAAGAGTGACAAAGGAGAAAGGGAGGAGGGTGAGGGGTGTGGCTGGGCCACTCCTTTATGCTCAAAGAATGACAGCAGTAACACTAAGTCAAAATTTGGTCAGAAATCAGGAAGTTTAGCAAAAGGAGAAGATTAAAAGTTCATGTTGGATCAGTGTAAATTACTTTAGATTGAAAACACCTTCTGCTTTTTGACATATAACCAGGAGCAAAGACGTGCAAACAAAGAGCTCAAAGGACAGTAGGTTTCATTCCAGCAATCAATACTTATGCTTGGGATCTATTCATGATGATTCAGAACTGGACAGTGCCAAACAGATATATATATAAAAGCAATTCGATCTTTGTTGTGCATTAAGAATGGGTATGCTCAAATATACAAACCCAAAATACAACAAATACAAAATCTCTGGTTTGTGGTCAATATTTCAGAAAAGCCTTATAGTCTGAATGGGGGTCAGAGGTCAGCATTCCCAAGCTGCCTTTCATGCTTAGCTCAGGAAGCCAAAATAGCTCAACATGTGCAGCAGACATGGACATGCGTTTCCGCATCTATTCAGCTAAGCACTCTTTAGAGAGGATCACTGACATGCCTCAGTGAGAAAGACAATGCATGATAAACAGCCTCATTGTTTTATAAGAGACAGATGACATATGGACATGCTTGGAGGAAAGTGCTCTTCCAAACCCGTGTAATTAATGTGAATGAAAGCAAGCAGTCCGGACTACTACAGAGGGTAGTCCGGACTGCTGAGCGAATCATTGGTACAACCCTCCCTTCTCTCCAAGAACTGTACTCGTCCAGAGTGAGCAAAAGGGCTGGCAGAATCACTCTGGACCCCTCACATCCAGCACACTCCCTCTTTGAACTGTTGCCATCTGGTCGACGCTACAGAGCTCTGAGCACCAGAACGACCAGACACAGGAACAGTTTCTTCCCTCAGGCCATCCATCTCATGAACACTTGACAATAACCGTGGAACACACACTATTTATTCACTCATACACTTATTTATCTAACACTCATACTCAGCCTACACTTCAAATTTGCACATAATATACAGTACCTGTACATACAAAAAACCCCAAAAAACTGTCTATTGTAATATACTGTACCTGCACACACAATTGTCAATTTATATATTTTTATTCCTTATTTACTTTTTCTATTTTTTTTTTATTATCTGTGTTTTTTGTTCTGTCACTGTCATTCTGTTACACTGTGGAAGCTTCTGTCACGATAACAAATTCCTCGTATGTGTAAACATACCTGGCAATAAAGCTCATTCTGATTCTGATTCTGATTATTGTAATATTGCAGTCTTTGTTGATTGATTAAGTGGTAAAGGATTGTTTTGTAGGAGACTCATAAAGCTGTGTGGAGCTAACAAATAAATGGGTGGACAAAAGTACACTTTTTGAATGCAAACAATATTATAAATACCCTTGTCACTTTTATTCAAATGAATACTACGATGTTAGAAAGAGCATAACTTTGTCTTCAAACATCACAGGAACTGAAATAGAGACTTTTCTTAGTTAAAATGTCTAAATGTTTCTGGTGGCCCTCCAGGATTGGCAAACAATGTATGTAACGTAATGTAAGGTGTTATTTCTACCAGATACATTTTGTGCATAAATTCTAAAGAAGTAAGTTTGATTCAGCCGTTAAACATTTTTGAGACTTGACTGCTAATGTAGATGCTACCGCATATTTCAATGGAATTTGACTATGTATGTTTTTCGTGTGTGTTTTATTAATAAATGTACTATTTATTTGTAACTATAAAAGGAATAAAAGATACAAGATTTATATAAAACTTTTTTAATATACATTACCATTCAAATGTTTGGGATCTGCAAGATTTTTTAAAAATGTTTTCGAGAAGTCTACCTGTAGGGCATATTTTAAATACAGTAAAAAAATAGTAATATTGTGAAATATAATTACAACTTGAAATACTAATTTAAAAACTAAATGTGTTTTATTCCTGTGATGCAAAGCTGAATTTTCAGCAGCCATTACTCCAGTCTTCAGTGTCACATGATCCTTTAGAAATCATTCTAATATGCATATTTGCGGCAATAATGATTTCTTAATAACAATGTTGAAAAACGTTGTTGCTTAATATTTTTGCTGAATAAAAGTATGAATTTCCTTTCAATAAAAGTAATACAATCATACTGACCCAAACTTCTAAGTGTAGGCCAATATAACAAAAAAAAGCATAATGAAAAATTTTTAAACTACTAAATAAAACGGAAACATCCATATTAATCAAAACAAGGTTTTAGAATGACCTGAAAGACAAACAGTAAAACATATCACTCTTAAAAATAAAGGTGCTTCACGATGCCATAGAAGAACCTTTTTGCCCAAATGGTTCCATAAAGAACCTTTAACATCTGAAGAACCTTTCTGTTTCACGGTTAACTATCCTTTTAAAGACCAGATTACTTTCTATTTGATCATAACTTTGAGAGAACCTTGCCAGAACGTTCTGAGAAAGTTCTAGCCAAAGCTCTAAGAACATTTCTTATTAGCAGGGAAGGCATTAAAATACAACTCATTTGCTCAATGAAGCAACTCATCCTTACTCATCAACTGGAATAAAATAAGTGGGAAATTATGAACATGAATGTGGGCAAATGTTATCTCCTCCCATGTATTTGTAGGCTAATGGAGTTTCAATCCCTTTATTTAGAGTTTTTTGTTTGCAATGGACTTTACCCTGAGTTTAGGACAGGCCACTGTGGATTTTCCCACTGAAAGAAAAACAGTGACAGACAGGTGTAGACACACCCGAACAGATTCATTGACTGGGTTTGCATGCACAAGAATATGCTGATATGAATCAGAATGTGGGTATATTATAATTATTTTTGAGTCATGTAAAACACCTTATTGCCATAAGCCAGTATTCCAGTTCCATCTGCAAATTCAACACCATATATATATATATACTTACATAATATAAAATTATTCGCCATGTAAGCGCCTTATTCAGAATATGATCTGTTCTGTCTATAAGTATCTGCGCATGTACAAATGAAGGTGACCTACATTTCATTCATGACCTACATTTTGTGATTTTGAGTGAGAATGAAGTTACTGTGCATGATTAGTTTTTTTTTCTTCAGATTGTTATTGTTGCATACTTGTTTGGAATAAAGGGTTAATTAGAATATGGACTTTAATTGGAAAACATGCTTGTAAACATGGCCATTTTTCCCTGAATGGATTCATTTAAATACAGCATGAGATTTGGCTCTCCAAGCCTGTCCGCACCTGTTCTCTGATTTGCTGTGTGTGGTCAGTCCTGTTCTCATCAATAAAGCCTTCGCCGTCAATGCACAACAGGGAACTCTGTGGTTTGTGCATTTGCTTCTATTGTTGTGGAAGAGAAGGAACAGGGACATAGGCAATGTTTCCAGGATGTTGTTC